GGAGCCCGATGTGGGACTCGATCCCAGGACCCTGGGATCATGACCTGAGCCGAAGGCAGACGCTTAACCATCTGAGCCACCCAGGCGCCCCTGGGCTGTATTTTAGCTATAGAATCATTTTTAGAGACACAGTCGTTGAAGCAGGTGGATGAAATCACCCTAAATTGTGTGCAAATGAGAAGAAAAGAAGGCTAGGGATTTTACGTCAGTGTTTAAGGGGTAGATAGAAGTGGATTTGGCAAAGACAGTGGAAGAGAGTGAATGGGATCAGTGGTAGGACGACAGAAAAACCAGGAAAGTATCTCCGAGAGGCCAAAGTGTATCTCTTGCTGTATAACAGGCCACTCCCAAATTTAGTGGTTTGAAATAACAGCCATTTATTATTTCTCATGAGTCCATAGGCAAGCAGGGCCAGTCTGCTGATCTTTGCAGAGCTTACTTCTGTGTCTGCAGACAGCTAGTAGGTTGGTGGGGGTGGGCTAGTGTAAGATGGCTTTGGCAGGGATGACTCGTTTCTCTCCCTTATGTCTTTCTCAGCTCCCCAGCATGTTAGCCTGCATGTGGTCTCATAGTACTAGCAGGGATGAAGAGTGGAAGCAGAAATGCTTCAGCACTTTTTCCAAGCTCTGCTGCATTACATTTGTTCTTGTCTCATTGACCAAAGCAAGTCACATGTCTGAGCTCAGAGTCAGCTTGCGCTGAGCACCACCAAAGGACATGGATACAAGAGAGGCATGAACCATTGGGGCCGTTCATTCATCCTCTCACACCAAGAGAGAAGAAAAAAGTTGTGATGGGGGCGCCTGGCTGGCTCAGTCAGTAGAGCATGTGACTCTTGATCCTGGGGGAGTGAGTTTGAGCCCCATGTTGAGTGTGGAGATTACTTAAAAATGAATTACAAAAGTTAGGATGGGAACAGGCTATTGGATTAGTAATTAAGAGGTCATGAATGGCCTGAGCCAGAGCTGATAGAATAAAGTATTGTTGAGGTAGAAGCTTGATTCCAGTTATTTGGTGGATGAATAGAAATCGAGGAAGAAGAGACACTAAAAGTATCTGGTAAAAGGCAGATGGAGCGTAGGCACAGAGGGCAGGTATGGTGGTTGTTCAGGGTAGATTAAGGAAAGGTGCCATCTGCCCTCCTCCCCTCCTGGAAAAACTGGAACAGATCTGTAGGCTGAGGGAAAGAGCTGGAAAATGGAGAGTTAAAAATATGTGAGTGACAAGTGACAAAAACATGTGACACTGGTGACGTCGGTTTAGAAGCAAGGAGAGACCAGCTTTTTAATATACTGAATTTGTTTTATTATCATTTGTCTTCATCGTTCCAGTCTGAATGAAATACCTGATCTTTATTTTGAAAATAAAATTTGAGTGTGCTTTATTTGTTTTAAAATGGTATTTTTTCTGCTTGTGTAAGTTTCAGAACATTCGGAAAATACTATGTATTGTATAGGGAAAAAAATGACCTCTTATCTAGGGACACACACCCTGTTTTTTCTTTTACAAAATTTGGATTGCACTCAAAATACTGTTTTTATGTGTAACACTTAAACCTTAATTATGACTTATTTATGACTTTTTATATAAAGAAGATTTAAGTTATAGTTTTATATAAAGAAGATTTAAATGCTTAGTAAAACTTGCCTTAACTCTCTAGTTCAAGGAAATGATTTTTTTTCCGACCACTGACCCACAGACAAAAATAACACTTAACACAATGCATATAAAGAACTCTTAGTTGGACCAGATGAAGGCCAGGGTGGGGGGTGGATTTTAAGGACAATCTTAAGCATTTTTATTTACCTGTTTTTTAAATGTAATACAGGGCATGACAACCAAGTGCAATGTGTGAACTTTGATTAGATCCTGGATGGGCAGAACAACAGGTAAAAATAACATTTGGGAGACAGGAAAATCTGAATATGGACAGAAGAGGAATGGTACTGAGTAAGAAGAAAAAAAAGGAAAAAAGACGAAGGGAGAAGAAAGCAGAGAAGGGAATCATAAATGCTATCAATTTGGGGAGGTGGCCTATAAGTAAATGTTCACACCAGCTGTGCCCTTCACTTGGCCAAGGACACCAAGTGGAACACTAGCCTCTAATGGTCAGTGCCCTTGGAAACCCTTAGTGCTTGTTCTTTCGACACAGGGAAACAGCTTACCGCCTTTTTGTTTTAATTCAGTGTGTTTTTGAACTTCAAATTTGCTTCTCATGTAAGATTCTACAGTAAAATTCTTCTCATGTAAAATTTAGACATTTTGTTTGGTACTTTGGTCAGTCTCTACATTTATTTTGAAAATCTCCTTGATGTTGAAGCTGCCTGACGACTTTATCTTTTATTCTTAAGTGATTAGGGTTACCTAGTTCCACAGTGCTTGAAGGTAACATTGGGAGTAATATGCCTTGGTACATGAAGACTAGAAGTTAGGCCCAGTGTAAATAAGGGTTCTCTCCCTCCCTCACACCCTTTATTGCTTCCAATTCCCTTTCTGAGTTAAGAGTGCTAATGTTGCATTCTCTTTCTGTTAAACAGGCTGCTTCCTTGGGACTACTACAGTTTCCTATCCTTAATGCTTCTGTGGATGAAAACTGCCAGAATGTAACTTATAAGGTTGGCTATGTGTTGTGGAAAAGTTCTTGTTATAAATAGAAAATGGTGCAGTTGTGCTTATAGGTTGGAAAAGCTTCTTTTGTACCTCGAATAGTGATTTTTTTTTTTTAGACTAGAATTAAAGGTATGGGATGAAAAATTAAACTGAGTTATAATTTGTTATTGTTGTTGGTTTTACTGGTTACTAATGATATTGTTCAGATATATGGAGTTCCATTTTTTAAGCCCCTTTGGTTTATTGCTTAAAATAATGGAAATAAATGGCTGTCAAGCAATGGATTATGTTAACCCTCCTACATACCCTCCCCTCAAAGAGATAACCTCTCTCAAAATGGAGTTCCTGCAGTTTTTAAAAGAAGAATAATTTGAACGGAAATAGGAAAAGTAATGAAAGTATGAATTCCATTTGAATGAACTCTTCTGTTTGGAGTGAAGATTTATTGAGACTGAGAACTGTTTTGGAGATGCTAATACTTGCTTATATTTCTACCTAATCAGGAGCTTAGATATTTTAGGGGGTCAGATCTTAAATCTTCCCATATGAGGGGCACCTGGGTGGCTCAGTCAGTTAAGTATCCAACTCCTGATCTCAGCTCAGGTCTTAATCTCAGGGTTGTGAGTTCAAGCCCCGCATTAGGCTCCACGCTGAGTGTGAAGCCTACTTAAAAATAATAATAATAGGGGCGCCTAGGTGGCTCAGTCGTTAAGCGTCTGCCTTCGGCTCAGGTCATGATCCCAGGGTCCTGGGATTGAGCCCTGCATCAGGGGGCTCAATATCCTTGTATATCTCTATATCCCTGTATATCTCTACATACTCTGTATTTATCTCCTTAACACAAAGTTTTATAAATGTGGGTACATATTATTAAATATTCCCCAGAAAGTCTTATTATGTCCACCAGCTTATATAGCTACTAATAATGAATGAAAATAGCCTGTTGCCTAATATTCTTACTGACAAAATTTTATTTTTTCCAAAAAATCTTTTTAAAATTCTTTAAAAATTCTTTAAATCATCAATCTGGTAGAAATAGTTTTTGGTTGTTTTTATGACAGTGAAGGTTGGTCCTTTCTTTTCTGTTAACTTATGAAAAGGCCTACTGTATAATTTTTTTCTTTTTAGGCTTCTCACAACATCGGGATAGCAATGGATACTGAGCAGGGTTTGATTGTCCCTAATGTGAAAAACGTCCAGATCTGCTCCATATTTGAGATCGCCACTGAGTTGAACCGCCTTCAAAAATTGGGCTCTGCAGGTCAGCTCAGTACCACTGATCTTACAGGAGGAACATTTACTCTTTCCAACATTGGATCAGTGAGTAATAGAAATGTTCAAATTCACAAATCATATCTTAAGATTTCTGATCATATGCTCGATTAAAAACATATTTCATTTGCCATTTGTTCCTCAAAAGCTTAATTTTCCTACTCTTCCTTTCTACTTTTTTTTTTTTAGATTGGTGGTACCTATGCCAAAGCAGTGATACTGCCACCTGAAGTAGCAATTGGGGCTCTCGGATCAGTTAAGGTGTGTTTATTAAATAATTGGCAAAAGGGTTTTAGCAAATCGGGAGGGTAAACACAAGAGTGACCATGTCTGAGGTTTTGCCCTCACTTCGGGTTGGAGGGTAACATTTGGCTCTGTAAGCCAATTATTTCTTCCTAAGAGGCAGGCGTGCCATTCCAGTGGATTGTTCTGTATGGAACCCCAGTGGTTCATGCCAGGCACAGGTGCAAGTCTTTATGGATAATCACAAATAGAGCCAATATGCTTCTATCAAAATATCTTTATTTAGCCAGTCCAAATTATTACTTGTAACAAAGTGAGACACCATTTAGACCATTTTTCTCAAACTTCACTCTGTTCAAGACTCATTGAGAGTACTAGTTAAAAATTCTTGGGCGCTTGGGTGGCTCAGTCGTTAAGCATCTGCCTTCGGCTCAGGTCATGATCCCAGGGTCCTGGGAT